CAACTGTTTAATAAAATATAAATAGTTAAAAATATTATTGAAATTGGCTGTCGTTTTCTTCCATTTCATACAACTGATTGAAGATCGATAGGACAGACATAACAAGAGAATCAGAACAAAGCAAAGCCCACAGTATCAATAGTGGTTTATAAAACAATTCAATGGAATTTTTTACATTCACGCAGTACAAGCAAACAATACCATGGATTAACAACTTATTCAGGAGGATAGGACTGAAGAAAGAATGTTAAATGTACATGTTTCCGAACAGAATGAAACTGACACAGAACTAAGGGTGGTATTCTTCACGCTGGAGAAAGGAAAGGTAGAAGACTAGTTACAGGACCAAGCACATGTTACAACTAACGTGCAGATAACGGGACAAGGACAAATGTGAATGATAAAATTTTAGGATAGAAATGTCAAGCCTCGGCTAGCCTCTTGACTACAGCAGCCATATACTTCCCCTGATGCTCTGCTAGTGAGAGCTCTGTCTCAGTTGGCTCCCTTGAGCCATCACCAGCATAAACACCAGCACCATAAGGAGAACCTCCTCGAATTGAGTCCATCTTGAACATACCAGCTCCAAATGTGTAGCCAATTGGAACAAAAAGCATCCCATGGTGTGCCAACTGGGTTATTGCTGTCCAGCTGCAGATATAAAAAGTGAGAAAAAATCATAGTGTTTTGTCAATCCCAACAGAAGCTGGAAGTTTGATAAAAAGGAATCATACATAATATGGATGGTGACTGCTCAAAAAGAAACTACAATATCCTTAAGCACAATCATCCTGAAGGATCCATAACAGGAAAAAGACCATTTCAAATCCTTGGATGCTTATAAAGTTTAGAGTAAAATGCAGCTTAGTAGTTAAACATTCAACTTGTCAACCAAAACAATGGGAAACAGAAGCACCAAGGGAAACTTATAATATGACAATAAATACCAACAAAAAGTCCAAAGAGAAGAGGAGAAAGCTCTTGATGAGGACAAGATATTAATAAATAACACTCCAGCATCTATAGTCTGCAAAGCTTGATTCTATCTTTCACATAAATGAAGTGAAGCAAAATTATACTTAAGTTTAAATAAAATAAAATAATAGATGAAAAGCTGATAATAATAATAATAATAGTTGAAAAATCATTAATAAGAGTAAATATGTCAGTAGGAATTTATCTTCCAAATCAAAGCCAATGAGGGCTTTGTTTAGTGGTTAAATGACAGACAGTCTATATAATAAGTCCCAGATTTGAACACTCTTCCTACCCCAAACATCATTGGAAAAAATAAAGGGGGGCTACTTTAGCCTTTAGCACTATACGGTTGGTAGTTCAAAAGGCTCAAGAATAAAGAAGATTGCCATTATTAAAAAAAAAGATATTCTACTTTAGCACTATAGGGTTGGTAGTTCAAAAGGCTCAAGAATAAAGCAGATTGCCTGCCATTGGTAGAAAGGTTATTCAAAGGAAAATATGCAGATCACAAGAAAAAATAAAATCTTTTCCCACTATGTCTGCAAAAAAACAAACAGTCTTGCAACACAAACCAATAAAATCTGCATTAGGCCACAGCAACAGTATGTCAGAAACAAACAATTTCAGATTTGCTTGATGTATCCTGTAGTTTTGAGAGGGAGTATAACATGACAAGCTAACCAAAATGTAAACAACATTGATCCCACAAAACATCCATAGTAACTGCTAACCATCTGAGGGTTTCTTAACTAGTTTAATGCCGAAAAAAGGATACTAATTTAAAATCCATTCTATGCTAAGTAACATCTACATTCATATACTGTTTTCCCCTGTCTCATCATTCACCAATTTCAACTGATACACGATTGAATAATACTCACAATCATTTTACAACTACTAGAATCTTATGATTCTCAATTCAGCAATTTCTTATTGAAGAACAAAGTGGGAAAACTTGATACAATTGCTCCATAAATTAATAACTCAAAATCATCAAGAAAAAGTCTAAAAACAATTTCCTACTCATGATTTTCTACTTGGTTTTTCTTTCTCATTCTAAGTATGAAATGAATTTAACTATTCATAATAACAAATAAGGTACAGATAGAGATAATTTCAAATAAAAATTGTGGCTTACGCTGTTGTTTCTTGGCCGCCTCCTTGAGTACCGGTACTAACAAAGAATCCGGCCGGTTTCCCAGCGAGCGTCTGCTCTTTCCACAGCTGCCCCGTGGAGTCGAAAAATGTCTTCATCTGCGCCGCCATGCACCCATACCTAGTCGGGAACCCAAACAAAACCCCATCCGCCTTCGCCAATTCCGCTGCCGCAATCTCCGGAATCTCCTGGTCCTTTGGCGGCGCCTTCATTTGCTCAAGCACCTCCGCCGACAGCGTCTCCGGCACCCGGTACAGCTCCGCCTCAACCCCCTTCACACCATCCACTCCCTTCTTCATCCTCTTTGCCAATTTCTCAACGTGACCGTACATTGAGTAAAACACAATGAATAATTTCAAATTAGCAACTGTGAAATTCTCCGTTGCGGGAGTCTCGGAGGTCACTTGATCTTCGATAGCGATCGGCGCGTCGGTGGCGCTGCCACGGTTGGAAGCACCGTCAAGGACTATGTTCTTCTTCTTGCTCGGAACGCAGCCACCTCCCTTCCCCATCGCTGATTACACTGCACTAAACCCAGAGAATTCCGATCCTGAGAAGGAATTGTGATCAGGGAGTGCCTGCCGCCGGAGAAAATGAGACGACGGCGAAGGTTTTTTGAAGATTTTTGGATCCTGAGGGGATATGCTTCTTCAGGAAGGAAAGGGCTGGCAGTTTCCAATTTTGATTATCTGGGATGCATGAACCTTGCTGTGTTTCCTTGTACGAAAGAATGACGTCGTATTGATGTTGGACTTTTTAGGTTAAGATGGCCCAGAAGAACAAAGCTACCAGTAAGTAA